AATATAAATTGTTCACGATATATGGGCATGCCAAGGCAAATAAATAATAAATAATAAATATATATAAATATAAATGGCAATATGGGAATGAAAATGAAATAATCTGCCAACTAAAAGGCGCATAAATAGCTGTCGAATGACATTCATTTTCTTTTGTTCATCTTTATAGCAGCCATTTTGCTGTCGCTCATCACTCGCACGTATGTATGTGTGCGCGTGTGTGCGATATGTTGACGCCATCGCTCGTACGTTTTTTGTTGTTATTGCGGTCACTGACACGTGTACGTGTCACTTCAGACATAAGCGCTGAATTATTCAGAGAAGATGGTCGTCCAATTTTGATTTGATTTATCGCCGGCTGTGGATTTTTACAAGCGGCAATGCTGCTGAGGCAGCGACAATGTCAAATCAATGCCATCAAATTACAGATCATTAGCATATGATTAGCATAATTAATTTTGCACCTCCAACCGGTGGGCTTCTTGATTAATTTCATTACTCACATCGCCCTCAACAATTTGAGTGTAAATAGCAGCAGACTCAATTCCACTTGCAATTTCCTCTACTTACACACACACACACACACACTTAGTCACACATAGAGATGATGGAACTGCGGAAGCAAACAGATCGAAGTCTCTGTGCACACTTGACCAAAGTTAGATTATCAATGCGCGCCGTTCAAGTTTATTATATTATATATGTATATATTTGATTTGAGAGCAGCAGCTCTTAAAAAAAAACTTCTTCCTAGACAGCAGGAAACGAGTACTTCGTGAAGAGCTACATTTTGAAAGTTGTTGTTTGCTTCATGCACTTTACTATTTATTGTTAAATGCAATTACGGATCTCAAGTATTGTAAGCAAGCTGAATGCAGATAAGATAAATGATGTCTCGACAGTTATTTATTAAGTTGAGAAAAAGTTCAACCGAATASTTATAATAATATAAACGAATAGTTAGTCTTCCAGCAACTTTGAATACGAGAGCAAGCTAAAGCTTTTTTCTTCTTTGAGCTTCAATTAGGCAGTGACTTTTATTCAAACAGGGAAAGGAGCGAGCATAGGCACAGCTAGCACAAGTTGAGCGAGTATATAGAGTGCGAGCAGAGGCTTTTGCGATTGCTGCTCTTACACATGCAATTCAAGTGCCACTGTTGATTTAAATGATTATTTAGTTACATTATTCATGGCAATGTTTTAGTTTTCATATTTCTTACTCCGATTATTACATACCAACAAATCAAAAGCTCACAAAAATAAATTGCACTTATTAAGTACATTGATATTCAACAGAAAACATATACATATATGTTTTTATCATTCAGATTAACAGTCTTATGAAAACTCTTATCGAAAACTCAAATAAGCGTATATATTCCGCCCACAGTCAGTTAAAACGGACAACGAAGCAAATTTGTTTACTCACACAGAGCACAGTTTTATCTGCTATTTGCAGTGCAATTTTGTAATGGATTTATCCACTCACATACCCGTGGCATGCACATGCAGCTCATACACTCACATATGTATACCCTTGCGGCAGCCAATTATCAGAATCAATAGCAACAAACATGTCCACACATGAGCTCAGAGGGCCACATGTCTGTTATTTTATTACTATTATTATTATAGTCGAAAAAAAAAAACAAAATGGAGTTTCTGTATAAAAAGTGTCATACGCCCTGAATTTTGAAGAAGACAAAAAATAAAGGAAAATTGAAAAAGAACATTGCGCACTTTTCATAATTGGCTGCACAATACAGCTAGGATATGAGCACAAACAAACTGTAAAAAGAAATGGGAAACCAGAAACATTGTGTACTTGCAACGCATAAAAGAAATGAACATAATTGCTTGTTTGTGCTTAATGTACCCTAACATTGCAGCACTTGGGCTTGTCAGTTTGTGTAAAGTAAAGTTTTTCGGAATATGCACAGCCTGAAGACGTGGTAAAGCATGCAAAAAGCGTATTTATAGTAAGACAAGCACAGTGGGCAAAACTCACGATAAACAATGACAAAAATCTGTCGACCACTGACCCACAGGAAAATTATTTAAACTCTGTGTCTCTGTTCCTAGAGAGTCCAACACCCAATGCGACGTTTACCTTTGTAAGTTAAGAGCGGCAGTAGGCCCGACAGATGAACAGTGGAGGGAATATGTATGCTTGCCAAGAGATTTGGGTCATTCGTTTCGTTTTCTCTCTTGTTCGTTCTCACGACGTTTCGGCTCGAACATGCTAAGCCCGACCCGAGCTTAAACTGCTTCACTGTATTCRTGTGCTGCGAGCTCTGCTCATTTGGCTATATTGACTATATTCCATGCATATGTCAGAGACGATTACATATTCTTGCTGCCAGTTATTATAAATAGTGTAAACTCAACTCAAACAATAAAGTGAACACCCTCGGTTGCTCAATCCACGACTATAACTAAATCTATTCAAACCTGGTCTTCATTTTGAACTTAATCAAATCGAAATATGTGGAAATACAGTTCAATAAAAAAATCGTAAATAAATATTTTATTTTATATCTTATCTTAATTTATATCTTATTTATATCATGGTATATAAATATTATTTCTGTATTTACAATTACAGCAACAATTTAATATAGTGTAAAAGAATATTTCACATAAAAATAGTCAAGCTTGCCCACAGTGCATACTTGTGTGGGTGCAAAGGACAATTGCAGACTCTAGATTATGTCCCTGAAGAGCAGCTGAACAATAACAAAAATTTTAAGCGACACAAAGTGCATGCGGCTGTGTGGCGGAGTGTGGAAAGACAAACATGCAAGAGGACACCAGATATGCAACTAACACATGCACATACTCATATACACATATATGTACAAATATCTATATGCTGTGTGTGTATGTTGCGTGCCTATCTTGGACCGTCTTGAGTGTTTGAGCCAAAGATTAAATGGTGTTTATGGCTGCACCGGTGCAGCTCCGTTCGCTTTTGGCGCTGTCTCTCTAATACTTTTGACAGTTGTGCAAAATTTATGAGTGCAAACACTTACTCATACACACTCGCCCACTCTCTTGAACGGCTAGAAATATGGCAGAGCAAAACGAGAATCGCAACGTAAATAAATAAACAAAAAGTAATTGTAATGCAAATGCAAAGTAAAATATAGAATACTTTACAAGCAGTGCAGCCATAACTTATTTCTGATTCTGTTTCAAATTTCTGCCGGCGCATTCTATTACAGGGTTGGACCTGGCCTAAGATGGGTAGCGTGCTCTTCGCAGCTGTCTTCATAGCATTACACTTTGCCACCGGCGGCCTGGCCAACCCAGATGCTAAGCGACTGTACGACGACTTGCTGAGCAACTACAATCGACTCATACGACCCGTGGGCAACAACTCCGATCGTCTGACGGTCAAAATGGGTCTAAGGCTGTCCCAACTGATCGATGTGGTAAGTCAAAAAATAAATTAATAATTATATGATATTAATAAGCATTGACGGAATTTCATATTAATTTTATTGTTTGGATCAAATTACAAAGAATTAATAGCAAACACTCTAAGATTAATTCAAAAAAAAAAAAATTTGTATATATAAACCATTTTTCACATTCTTGTAGCAAAAGTTTATAGCTTTTTGACAATATAAAAATTAAAAAAAAAAAAATTAATTTATGATACATACTCGTATATGATTGATTCTTGCCATAATGCCGGAAAATCGATTTTTCTGATTTTGTAAATCCAGCTTAACCATTAATTTATTATCTATAGGTATTAGCTATTATTAACAGCAGTGAACAATACATTTCAATTCAGTATTAAGAATTTTAAAATTTTCATCATAAATATAAACTTTGTTAATAACTTACATTAGTCTACCTCAAGTTCATTAATTAACTTGGTAAAGTCAAAGTGTAGGCTGTCACGCTTTACGCTTCGTGTGGCTGTAAATAAATGTATATATACATATATAATGTATATATATAATCGGTAATT